CCCCAGCCCCCGGCTTGCCAGCCAGGCCCTGGTTTCGTGAGGTCCCCAGGACTCCCGGCGCCCTCCACCCACCACCCGGGGGCTGGCCTTGGCTGCTCGCTGATGACCGAGCCTCACCATCTAGAAGGCGCAAGTCCTCTCAAGACCAGTTTGGCCCGGGGCCTGCACCAGCTGGCAGAAGGTTCCCCTGGGTTTCTCGTGGGCATTGAGCTTGACAGCCAGCGACAGCAGGGGAGCAGAGGTCAACAAGCTCTGACCCTCAGGCCAAACTGGCCAACAGCTGTTGCCGGTGCCTATGGACTAAGAACGCGTTTCACTGCCTTGGATGGTCCGGGAAACACTGCAGGGAATTCGAGGGCACAGCTGGCGACCGCCTCAGAGACGGCGCTGTCCGAGGCCCTTTCGACCAGCGCAGAGCGCGGGCGGCTCCCAGGAGCCAGCCTGGCTGGAGGGGGCTGCTCGGGGCAGTTCCGTAAACGGGCAAGTGGAGGGGTGTCCCCGCCCCCACAACAGGGGCCACGCTTCGCCGGGCAGTGAGCAGGCACCACCGTTACTGCCGGCCGCTCACTAGCACTGCCGAGACCGATCACCGCCCACACCTCACACCTGCCAGCGCACACTGGGAACTCCGCCCCATGCACACCCCTCCTCCACACACGGTCGCCTCAGACAGCGTGTCCCCGCCCGTGTGTCCTTCCTGGCCCTGGGCACCCTGTGTGCTGGCATCACGGGCCTCCTTCTGCAGCATCCTCATGTCCCTCCCTCACCCTCACCCTGTGCTCCCAGCAGCCCTCAGCCAGCAGCGCTGTGCCCTGCCTGCCGCCCACCCTGCGTGAGGGGTGAGTCAGCCAGCCGCCCTCCACACGTCAGCCTCCGGGGTCTCAGACCCTCCCAGCCAGAGTCCTGGGCACCGGCCCCCGGACACTCCGCCAGAGTCCTCACGTGCGGCGCGCTCACCCACGGACCTGCAGCCCAAATGGTCACCGAGCCTGACGGCAATGCCCCCGAATGAAATGACCGGAGCAGGGTTCCCAGCGGCTGATAAAACTGTTTGAATACACAATGATAGTTCCCAGAAATTATTAGGAACGTCTAAGAAATACTTTAAGTACATGGCAATAGATTCTTACTACATTGTCTGGCAAATTCAAACACTGAGATTTCCAGTGGAAAACTGTGAAATGAAGAATATACATTTAGCATTTACAAGTCTGGCTACTTCAGGAAGGTTTTCACGAGGGGCACAGCGCTGCCTCCCTCCTCCACCAGCGCCTGCACTCAGGGGCAGCACTGCCCAGCCACAGGCCCCCTTCTGGGGCTCACCTGTCACCTGTCCTCGTCTCACTGCTCAGAGTCCGCGGGGGACAGAGCACTCGCCTCCTCCTCACCTGGCCCAGGAGGCCACGCCTCTCACTGGAGTCCACATTCCACAACGGGGCAGCGCCACGGTGACCTTTCTGCCCACACACGGTGAGGGTCGGGTCCCAGCTCTGCTCCCTGCCTGCGCCGTGTGTCCGGCGCAGGAGCGACCT